CATCTTCGTCGTAATCAGTATCATCATCATCATCATCATCATCATCATCATCATCAGCAGCAGCAGCAGCAGCATCATCATGATCATCATCATCATCATCGCCAGCACCATCATAATTGATCATCATCACAATCATCATCAGCCTCATAAGCGTCATCCTCATCACCATCATCATCATCATCACCACCACCACCACCACCACCTCCACCTCCATGATCACCAACATCGTCATCGTCATGATCAAACCATCGTCTACTCCTCCTCGACCTCCGCCGCCTCCGCCTCCCGCCTCATCTCCCTCGTCCCCCTTGCTGCCCCTCTTCCTCCTGACGACGACGACGACGACGACGACGACGACGACGACGACGACGACGACGACGACGACGACCTGAGCGACGACGCCCGCAGGCTCCTTGCGCGCCGACATCAGCTCCGCGCGCACGCACGCCGTGCCCAGGCACACGGTGTCCTCGACCAAGCGGGCGCGCCCCGCGGCCCCCGCCCGCGCCGCCGCTCGGCGCCGGCGGCGGCGCCGGCGGCATCGGCGGCCCCGCCGCCGCCGCTGTCGCCAAATCGACTGTTCGCTCTGATCGGCTCACGTGCCAATCAATACGTGTATCCAAAACCCTCGGTACCCGCCCTCGTCGTCTTCGATCGTACCCCCTTGGGGGTATATCTTCCTTACCTGCCACGTGTATTTAGTGCAGTCCCTCAAACAAGGGAAGAGAGGACGGGTGGAAGGGGGAGGGAGAAGAATGGAGCACGGGAGAAATTAGCAGGAGGGAGGGGAAGGAACAGAAAACAAGTGGTATAACTAGACGGCCAGATCGGGTGGGCAGACCCATAGCGGGCAGGTCGGGAAGGCACGCCCAGGCGACGAAGCCGAGCATGCGGGTTGCTGAAGCGTGGGTCCTGCATGAATCGCGAGGAAGTCTCGAGCGATAACGTGATTCCCAAGTAAATCGTGAGAAAAGCCAGCGTGGGCCACCAAGGGCATAAAACCCGAGGCCAGAGAGAGCAGCGACGGGGCCGCTGAGGGCAGCAACGGGGCCACGAAGGGCAGCGAGGGGGCCACACAGGGCGACAGCGGCGCCACGAAGGGCATGCATGTGGGGCCACGACGGGCGCAAGCGAGCGGGGGACACGAAGGGCATTCGTATACGGGGCCACACCGGGCGCGTGCGAGCGGGGGCCACGAAGGGCATATAATGCAGGGCCACAAAGGGCAGCGACGGGGCCACTGAGGGCAGCAACGGGGCCACGAAGGACAGCAAGCGAAGGCGGGCGAAAAGCAGCGAGCGGCGACTGCAGTCGTTAACGGGCTGGTCGGGCGGGCAGGCCCCGACAGGCGGGTCGTTGAAGCGTGAGTCCTGCTTGAACCGCCAGGCAATATGTAGCGGGAGCGCGATTCCTGAGCGTCGAGGACCGGCATCTGAATAGATTGTAGGGAAATATCAAGAAAAGCGGTTCGGTGGTAAGTTGCGAGGAACTCCCAAGCGAGAACGCGATTCTGCAATAAATTGTCAAGAAGTATCAGGCGGGAGCCACGATTCGGTGGTACATTCCCAGGAAACCCCAAGCGAGAGCGCGATTCTTCAATAAATTGTGCGGAAACATCAAGCCAGATCCGTTGTTCTTGTAAACCGGGGGCCACCGACACAATTTGAGCCTCAAGACTTTTCGTGATTAAAAACAGAGTGCGAGCCCCGGGAGGGGCACAATTGAAAAAATACAGTGTGCACCGGGCGGGGGGGATCGAGAATAATTAACCTTCAGAAGTGAAAGCTCAACAACAACAACAACAACAACAACAACAACAATAATAAGAACAAGAACAAGAACAATAACAGCAGCAGCAACAGCAACAGAAACAGCAACAGCAACAGCAACAGCAACAGTAGCAACAACAACCACAACAACAGCAACCAAGAAAATAACAACAACAACAACAACAACAACAACAACAACAACAACAACAACAACAACAACAACAACAACAACAACAATCATTTTAAGACTCTTCGCCCATATATGCTCGAGTGCCCAATAACGCGTATGTTCCAAACCCTCGATACCCGCCCTCTTCGTCTTCGATCGAACCCCTTTTGGGGGGTATACCTTTCTTCCCTGCAGGCCGGGCCCCGGCAAGCGGCGGGGCGGCCGCGGACCGTCGGCCTGGCCAGCGGCAGCGCTGATCGGCGGGGCGGCCGCGGACCGTCGACCCGACCCCAAGAGGGACGGACAGGGGACCGACCACGACGACGACGACGACGACGACGACGACGTCGAAGACGACGGCGACGACGACGACGGCGACGACGAGCGAAAGCGAGAGCGAGAGAGAACGACAGCAGGGCCACGAAGGGCACGAAGTAGGCCACGAAGGGCGACAGCGGGGACACGAAGGGAATGCGTATGGGCCCACGAAGAGCGCGAACGACGGGGGCCACGAAGTGCAGATAATGCGGGGCCACAGAAGGCAACTATGGGGCCACTGAGGGTAGCAACTGGGCCACGTAGGACAATGAGGGGGACACAAATGGCGACAGCGGGGCCACGAAGGGCATGCACATGGGGCCACAACGGGCGCGACTCCTGGGTGCCTGGGTGTCGGGAGCGCGGCGCTTGGGCAAATTGCAGGAAATTCCAACGCAAGGCCATTCTTCAGTAAGTTGCAAGCAAGTCTCCAGCGAGAGCGCGACTCCAGAGCGCCGGGAGAGCGATTCCTGAATAAGTTGTAAGGAAATCCCAAACGAGAGCGCGATTCCTGAATAAAATGCGAGGAAGTCTCGGGCGGGAGCGGGGGTCCTGCCTAAATTGCAAGGAAGTCTCAAGCGGGAGCTGTCGTTGTTGTAACCCGGGGGCCAGGGGGCCAGTTTGAGCAGGAAGACTTTCCCTGTCAAAAAACAGGGTGCGAGCGTCGAGGGGCACACTTTGATTGAGAAAAAAAAGTATGCACCGGTGAGGGGGGAACAACAATAATTATTCTTCAGAAATGAGAACTCAACAACAACAACAACAACAACAACAACAACAACAACAACAACAACAACAACAACCACAACAACAACAACAACAACAACAACAACAACAACAACAACAACAACAACAACAATAACAACACCATCAACAACAACTGCAGCCACAACAACAACAACAACAACAACAACAACAACAACAAATGTTCGCCCCATTTCTGTTTCCCGCGCCGCCTGAAATATGGGTCCTCCCATCCGCTCTTGCTCGAAATCCGTCCCCAGACCATCCCACCTGGACACCATACTGGTCCGTTGATCGAGCTCATGAGGCCACAGAAAGCCTAAAGAGCAAGTGAAATCTACTCACGAGTCTTCTAATATTTCATTGTCCTCATTCGTTTCGTCTCCGTTTCGGCCCTCTCCAGCGCCGTGTGGTGGCGTGCGGGGCACTCATCGACCCCCCGACGAAGGCGACAACGACGACGAAGATGAGACAGAGACAGAGACGACAACAGCAACGGCGACGTTGCTGTCGACGAAGCCGCCGAAGCCACCGACAACGACAACGACGACGACGGCGACGACGGCAACGACGACGACGACGACGACGACGACGACGGCGACGACGACGACGACGACGACGACGACGACGACGACGACGACGGCGGCGACGACGACGGCAACGACGCCGACGGCGACAGCGAAGACGCCGCGGACAACGCGACCGCCGACGGCGCCGCCGACAGCGACGACGGCAACGACGGCAACGACGCCGTGGGCAAGGGCACGGGCCGCTCCTGGACCGGCCGCCCCTCCAGCTCGCCCGACGCGAAGCGGGCGGAGAGGTCCGAGCCCGTGCCCGCCGTGGCCGTGGCGGAGGCGCCCTCGTGGTACTGGGCGGGCCGCCGCCGAGGGCGACGGGCGGTGGCGAAGAGCAGGCTGCGATGGGCGACACTCGGCGGCGAGGGGCGACGCCCGGCGGCGTGGCGGCGGCGGTTCCGGGGCGAAGGCGCCCTCGCAGGGCGAGGACGCTGGCGATGGGCGATGGGCGATGGGCGATGGGCGGCGGCAGCGCGCGGCGCTCTGCGGCGAGGCGGCGGCGTGGCGGCGGCGACGCTGCGGAGGAGGCACCCTCGTCAGTGCTGGCGGGCTGCCGTCGTCGAAAGCGAGTGGCGGTGGCGATCGGCGGTGGCGAGGGCGATGGGCGGCGACGATGGACGAGCGGCCAGACGACGGCTTACTGGCGGCGGCGCCGGCGGGCCGTCGTCGTCGTCGTCGTCGAGGCTCGAGAATCGAGGATCGAGGAACGAGCATCGAGGCTTCGGCCCGCTTTGGGCCCCCCATGGACGTCGCCCGAACGAGGACCGAGCAACTGGGGACGGAGGATGGCGCCGGATCGCTCATGCATCGGCGACGTCGACATGGAGAGCATCTGGCTCTAGATCCCGCCGCATTATCGTCGTCGTCGTCGGTCGTCCGTCGTCGTCCGTCGTCACAGGTCGCTCGTCGGGAGTCGGTAGTCCCGGAAGAAGCGTCGATATGCTTGTGGAGATTCTGGGGCTGCCTCGGGGCCCGTGGGGCCGCGTTCGTCGATACGGCCAAGCTCGCCCCGGGATCCTGGTCGAAACGGGCTCTGGGGCAGATCCAGGCAGGAAGAACACGACAGGAGCTTGTGCTGGAGACCCCCTTTCCTGGGCGCGCGGAGCGCGCCGAAGGGCGGCGCCTGCAGCGCGGTCAGGGCGGCCTGGCGCCGATCTTAGAGAGCCGCGCGGACCTCCGAAATCAGCTTACACTTATGCCGTGTATTCTTCGGTTCTTACTATTATGACTACCGTTTTTATGTTTGGTATGACTCTTCTTCTAATAATTACTACGATGTAAAGATTACTATTATTTGGTTTGTTCTTACTTTTCGTAATGAGACTGAATTATGGTTGCTAGTAGCATTATGTGTAGTATACTTACGCGTAACAATATTATTCGTATGCTTCCTTCTGTGCTTATGATTATCAGTATGTTAAATATCATTCCTTCTTTCTCGTATATTTACTCTTCTTTGTAGTAGTACGACTCTTACTACCCATGTGTATTATTACTACTCACGTTAGTCTTATTAGTAGTACGTGTATCAGGTGTATTATGATCTCCGATTAATAGTACACGTCTGTTTAATACGATTATGAGTATTAGTAGTCTTCGTACTATTAGTATGTTTATTCGTATTCCTTAATGTCACTATTATCACTATGCTTGTTCTTACTATTTCATATAATTCTTATTCGTTACATTCGTGTTATTATGCGTCTTGGCTTTTTCGTTTTCGTATTACGATTCTGGTTCTCGAAATTACAATTCGTGCTATCATTATTAAGATGTTTCTTCCTACTGTTGTTACTATCAGGTTTCCTTTGATTTGCGTTATCTGGATACGAATATTATATTGTTCGTCACCTTCGTCACCGTGGTAGTGTCACGACTAGCTGCATTCGCATTACTATTAGTATGTGTATCATGTGTATATACACTGAAATTGTATTAATCATACTAAGTGTGTTGATATTGAGGATAGTATTATTCATGGCATTAGCATCAACACTAGCAGCGTAATTAGTGTTAGCGTTAGCATCAGTAGGATGCTGATTTGGATTAGCTATGGTATTTTTCTTAGGTTCGGTATTGTTATTAATAATTGTATTATCATTGATCTTACTACTCGTAATTATAGTAGCGCTACGAACCGTATTATTGCGATTCACATAACGTTACTATAACTGCTAGAATGAATAGTATCGCGCTGGTTGTTATTCGTAATCGTAGCAATACTAAATTAAGAATTTGTCCTTGTTATCATTCGTCTTCTTATTATTATTGATACTATAACTATTACCACCATTCGGCCGGAGCAGCTCCGGGATCGATCTTCGCTCTGCCCCAGCCGGGGCGCGCCGCCCACTCGCGCCCACCGTTGCGGCGCCGGCTGTCGCGGCGCTGTTGAAGCTGCTGGAGCCGTCGGCGCCGCCGGCGCGGCGGCTGCCTACTGGGCCGCCGCGGCTGGCGCCGACGCCCCCGCCGCTGTCGCTCGAGCCCGCGTCGCAGTCACGGGGCCCGCCAGTTGCGCAAAGTCTCGCACGCGGCTCGCAAGACCTACCACTTCCGGTCGCACGCGTCGTAATTCTTCGCCGCGAAAGTTGGGGGGGGCGAAGAAGAGAATGATGCGCCGCGCGCAGCGGCCGACTTGTTGCGAAAAGCCATCTGACGACGCACTCGGAACGGCCGCTGCCGCTGCCGGCCGCGGCGACAGCGCCGCCGGACTCGGCCGCCCGCCGTTCTGGGGGCCAGCGCCCCGCATTGAACCACCTCCCCCAGAACGCGAAACCACGGGCTGCGGAATTCCAGGGGCGCCCAAGCACTCCGCGCGCGCACCCAGCACGGGCGGGCAACTGCCAGGGCGGGCCCGGCGGCCCCCGCTGCCCCGGAAGCGCAAGCGGCGAGGGCGCCGGCGGCGACGGCGGCGCCGGGCGCGGGCGCCAAGGAAGAGAGCGCGCCCTTGGCCGCGGCGCCGGGGGCAGTCGCGCACGAGGTGCTCCTCGGAGTCGCACGCGCGGCATTTGGGGCACCCCGCAAAAGCCCGGGGGTGTTTTTGGTAGCCCGACCCCGCGCCACTGGCCCTGAACTTCCCCCGCCTACACCTTCTCCCCCCCAAGACTTCCGCGACGGTTCCCCGATAATCACTTCGGACACGTCGGCCAGAAAGGCGCGGCGGCCTGCGCCCTCACCCTTGCCGCCGCCCTCTCGGTCGACGATTCCCCCGACGCGCCGCGCGGGCTCGCGGTCGCCAGCGCCGCGCCGGCGCGCCACGGCGCGCTCGCCAGCCCCGGAGGCGCGCGCCGCGTTGCTCCACAAGAACAACGCGCAGCTCGGCATCGTCCGCGGCAACATCTTCGCCGATGGAGCCGACGGCGTCAGACTCGGCGCCTGAATCGACGCCTGCTGCTAGAACGCCCCCCTGCGCTGGCGGCGCCGCGCTGGCGTCGCTAGCGGCTGCTGGCGGAGGCGGGCCCGGCGCCGCCTCTGGCGCAGCTGGACCCGTGCCGCCCCAGCGCGAAGCGGAGACGGCGCCGCACGCACCCTGAACCTGATCTCGGGCGGGCGCACCCGCAAGGAAGGCGCGCCGTCGGGCAGCGCGGACGCCGAGGCGAGGTCCTCGGCGACCCCTCGACCACGCGCCCGAACGCCGCAGTTGGCCCGTCACGCGCGCGAGCTGCGCGGCGTTCGTGGAGCGGACCACGCCACGGCGCTGCAAGATCACGGTCAGCTAGGCGTTAGAACCGACAGCGACGCGAAGCAAGAGGAAGCTGCGGCCCTCGCAGCCGATCTTGAGCGGACCAACTTGCTGCGCCTGGCTACGAAAGACGTCGAATGAGGCGGGGAAGTTGTCGACGCGGTCTCGCGGCAGCCAATTGAAGTTCATCGGCGCCGACACCGTCGAAGCGCGTTCCTCCGCGCCCAGTTGGCCCCGCCGCTCGGTCAAACGGCGCGCGAGGAAGGTCATCGATGGCGCTGGGTTGCCGTTGATGAGACCTCCCTGGACCGAGACCGTCGGCGGCCTTCCGACCGCGGACTCGCGCGCCATGTCGGCGAGGCGCGACGAGACGTAGGCCGCCTTGCGAAACTCGTAGAGGCCTGAGTTCGCCACTGACCAGATCATCGCCTCGCGCGCCCGCTGGAAGGACATTCGAGCTGGCTGCTCGGACCCCAGGCGCAGAAGTGTCGGAAGTTGCCACTGCCGCCGCCTGCGCCCACGCAAGCGACGCAGCTGACGATGGCAACCGCGCCCACCCCGATGGCCTTCCATCCGGAGCGCATCTGAATCAACGCGTCGCGGAGGTGCTGGGGGCCAGGGATGAACCAGCGCCGATGCTCGGGCAGCGTCCCTCAGAGCCGCTGTGCAGACTTGCCCTGGACGTGCTTCTCCTCGTCTGCGCAGTGGGCGCATGATTTTGGCGCGCGGTTGTCATGCCACTGGCACTCGGAGCACCACGTGACACAGTCCGGGGAATGCCATTCGCACGTTGCGTGGTCACGGCACGTGGGCACCGCCTGCTGCGCGATCGTCAAGGGACGTGCGCATCGGGGCCCAGTCCTGCCGGGCTGCTGAGAACGCGCGGCCAAGGTGGAAGTTCAGGCAACAAGAAATCGAAGATGGTCTGGAAGGCAGGAGTGCTGGCAAATAACAAGCTGACTGCGCTAAACTCTGGTTATCCCAGATCCGCTTCGCTGTCCCTCGGAACGTTGGTGGCACCGTCGCCAGAACTTCCATTGCCTCTACGCTCTGCTCTGCCCCTGCTCCTCCCACGGCTCTCGCGGCATTGTCGCCAGAAGCTCGAGACCCTCAGCCGACACAGTAGATGTGAACGCTGCATCGAGCAACTGTCCGACGTGTGTGTGTGGTAATTCCCACAGGCGGGCGCTGTGAAGGCGTAGGGTCCGCGAGCTGCGGTGACACAGTCAGCGCACGCCCAGGAAGGATCGCTAAAAGCTCCAGCGCGCCACGAGGTTCGACGTCGTCGTAGGCGGCGGCGCGGCCTGGGCCTTTGGAGGTCATAGCGAATGTCCTCGTAGTTGTATTGTTTGCGCGCCCTTCCCGTCACCGGTCCTGGCGGATGGGTTGCTGCCCCGACGGACCCTAGAATAATGCTTCCTGCCATGATTAAAGGGCAACAAGTGCACGAAGGCGAGAAATCAACACCGGGATGAACAGCGGCGGAGGGCGCGGCAGAACATGGTGAGGCTGTGGCAACGGAGCATGATGTTCCGATACCAACTAGAGAAATTGATGTAAACATGGATGTGGAAGATCGGGTCTTTCTGAAAGCGGAATGTATGTGTCTACGGCGCGGCTAAGGCGGGCACGGACGCGGTGCTGGCTGTAACCGCAGCGGTAACAGGACAGCCATGGCACAAGCAACGACGAGGTGAAACAAGCAGGAGAAGAGGACGTACCGTTCGGATAGGTGGCGGATGAGCAAGAGGATAGTCAGGAGGAGGAGGAGGAGGAGGAGGAGGAGGAGGAGGAGGAGGAGGGAGGAGGGGGGAAGGAGGCAGAAGCGCCGAGGGGGGCAGGAGGTCCACCTTTCGGGCCAGAACTCGGGCCTCCCGCGGCCGTCCGGGACAATCCGGCACTCCTGTGAACGCCCTCGGCGAGGTGGGCGGAGCTGCTCGAGAGCACCCCGAGGCCAGAGGACCGCCCAGAGCCAATAAAAACGCAAGAAGTCTTCAAACCGGAAACCTCTCGAACGGAAAACCTCGATTCTTGAACAGAAAGAAACTCCACGTGCCCACACGAAACGATTGAGATCCTCGAGGCGTCGAGGAGGCAAAGGAGCTCGAGAGCGAAACGCTCCTCGCTGTGCGCCGCGCAGGGCGTCCCGCCGCAGCTCGACGAAGGCACCCAAAGGCGGCTCGAGCCCGTGTCGACGAGGACCGTGAAGTTCTGGGGCGGGGTGCCGATCGAGATGTTGCCTGACCAGGAGGAACACAAAAGTTGCCTCCTCCTACTACTTCTCCTCCTCCTCCTCCACCTCCTCCTCCTCATCATCCTCCTCCTCATCCATCTCCTCCTCCTCCTCATCATCATCCATCTCCTCCTCCTCCTCCTCCTCCTCCTCCTCCTCCTCCTAGTCCTCGTCTCCTCCTCCTCCTCCTCGGCGTCCTCTTCCTTCCCCTCCTCCTCAACTTCCTCCTCAACTTCCTCAACTTCCTCCTCCTCCTCCTCAACTATCTCCTCCTCCTCCTCCTCCTCCTCCTCCTCCTCAACCTCCTCCTCCTCCTCCTCCTCCTCCTCCTCCTCCTCCTCCTCCTCCGCCTCCTCCTGTCCTCCTACCTGCTCCTCCTCCTCCTCCTCCTCCTCCTCCTCCTCCTCTCCTCCGCAGCTGGTGCAGGACCTTAGGTGCCTCTCCTCCTCCTCGCGCCTCGTCGCCTCCTCGTCACCTCCTCGTCCCTCTTTCGCATCCTACTCGTCCCTCCTCTCTCCTCCTCTCTCGTCTCCTTCTCGTCTCCTCCTCGTATCCTCCACGTCTCCTTCTTTCTCTAGATCCTCCTCGTCTCTCCCGTCTCCTCCTTGTCTCCCCTCGTCCTCCTCCTCCTGTCCTCCTCCTCCTGGTCTCCTCCTCCTTCGGCTCCCTACCTCGTCCCCTCCTCGTCTCCTCCTCCTCCTCCTGCCTCCTCCTCTCCTCCTACCTCACCTCCTCCTCTCCTCCTCCGCCTCCTCCACCTCCTCGGCGTCCTCTTCCTCCCCCTCCTCCTCACTTCCCTCCTCAACTTCGTCAACTTCCTCCTCCTCCTCAACTATCTCTCCTCCCTCCTCCTCCTCCTCCTCAACCTCCTCCTCCTCCTCCTCCTGTCCTCCTCCTGCTCCTCATCCTCCTCCTCCTCCTCGTCGCCTCGTCTCCTCCTCGTCCCCTCCTCGTCTCCTCTTCGCATCCTCCTCGTCTCCTCCTCGTCTCCTCCTCGTCTCCTCCTCGTCTCCTCCTGGTCTCCTCCTCGTCTCCTCCTGGTCTCCTCCTCGTCTCCTTCTCGTCTCCTCCTCGTATCCTCCACGTCTCCTTCTCGTATCCTCCTCGTCTCCTCCTCGTCTCCTCCTTGTCTTCTCCTCGTCCTCCTCCTCGTCCTCCTCCTCCTCCTCCTCCAACTCCGAGGAGGAGGAGGAGGAGGAGGAGGAGCAGGAGGAGTCCAATCTGGTGAGAGCGCCGAATAAGGAACGAAGGGACCCTTCTGGCCACGGCGAGATGCTGCCTGCACAAGAGGCCTTCCAGATGGGGTCCGAGTACGTACAGCCAGGAAGTGCCGAATCACAAACGAACCGTAGCTCCGACGATGTGATCGTTTCAGTCGAAGCGCTCTCCCTCCGTTTTGGCCTCTCCGGGGCCCTTCATCGGGCCTGCGGACCATCAAAAACTGATCTGGGAAAAAGCACTGGGGAAGGCCTCGGGAACTCTGGACCGCGGCTCGACAGAAAACGCATCGTCGGATGTCTGGGAACAAGGATCGAAGGGGCTCTTCCACGGGCTCCCTGAAGTCACGGCGAGCCTCGCACACCCCTGGCCCAGATCTGGGGAACGACCCGAAAACCAGAGCACCTCCTGAACACAAAGTGGTCGTTTTGCAGCATCTCGACTGCACACGGGGTCGGGGCATCGCGACGCATCGCCGATGCAACGCCGATGTGCCAGCGAGGCATCAGGTATGCACCAAGCACCGGCGATGCGACGCGATCCTACGACCCCGTGTACTCGGACCCCATCTGGGAGGCGCGAAGCGAAGGAGCACAACTCCTTACACGACATCGGCGAGGACCGAGAGCCGAAGGCCGAGGACCGAGAGCTTACAGCTGGGACTGCTGTGGCCCTCTTGTGTGCCTCCAGCCTCCAGGAGCCCTGGAAGATCTCCATGGGCCTTGCAGGGAAGCACGCCTTCAATCGCCTTGAGCCTCCGTTCATGCTGTCGCTGGCCATGCCGCAGGCAGGGGGAGAGGAGCGGGGGCAGGAGGGGGGGCATGCGAGCAAGGGGATCCTCGGAGGTCTCCGGCGGCCTCCAGATGCCCACAGAGAGGCAAGCTCATCCAAGAGCCTCGACCCCCGATTCTCAAGGAAGAGGGGAGCAGAAGAGGAACAGAAAAGGGGGAGGAGGAGGAGGAGGAGGAGGAGGAGGAGGAGGAGGAGGAGGAGGAGGAGGAGGAGGAGAGAGGAGGAGAGAGGAGGAGAGAGGAGAGGGGAGAGGCCTGCCTGAGTAGCTGAAGAAAGGGACTTGCCTCCCGTCGCCGCTCGGCACGGAGGTGAAGGCGCCGGCCAGCGGGATGACGACGACCCCGGGCCCCTGCGCGGGAGGACGCTGGCTGCGATCCGCCCGCCACCGTCCATGGTCCGGCCCGCCGTGGGGGCCTCCCTCCTCCCGCCCCAATTGAGCACTGGGGTGGGGGGGAGCGGCTCCTGTAAAGGGGCTCTTGTAAAGGGGGCCCACAAATCTCCCGCCGCTTCCATGGAAGAAGAAAAAACCACATGAACACAAACTTTTGGCGCTCCGCGCGAATTTCTTGGATTTCGCGCTCGACCCCTCGCGCCAGGGGCGGCGCCGGAGGCGCCGCCGGGGGGCCCAGGCGCGGATCCAAGAAATCCGCGCGGAGCGCCAATATGTTTATGTTTATGTGGTTTTTCTTCTTCGATTTCAGGCCCATAGGAGCCCAGGACCGTCACCCACAACCCGTCAGGGTGACCCCAGCTCCTCGC